CCCCCCATAGAGGGGGGAAGGGAGGGGGCATTTTTTTAACGCATTTTTCAGATTCGGCCGTGTCTGTCCCGAACGTATCAGGTACCGAATACGCGCGCCCCACGATCGCCCCAAGCTCGACGGGTATTTCACAAGATTCTCTTTCGGCGCTTATTTCGCTCCGGCAACCGGAACCTAAAGCGGACATAGAGCTTCTAATTTACACCGTAAAAAGAATTTGGGGCGACCCTGAGCCAGCGGCTGACAGGCATCCAAATTTTGATAGGGTTGACCAGGTTTTGTCATCGAGGTTGTTTGAACTAATAGCTAAACTTTTTTAATTTGTTCAAAAAGTAGTTATATAGGTGCTGGAGCAGAGTTTATATGTTGAAATGTTGAACAACCATGTCAAGGTTGCCGTGGTCAAGGTTGCTAAGGCGTCGCGCGGTCTGCAGCGATCCCGGGTTCGAATCCTGCTACGGACGAAAAACAGGTTGGTTTTTCAACGTTCATTCAACTAGAGAATTTGACGTTGCAGCAATGTCGTAGCAGTAACATTGATTCAACGTTGCATTGTAACGGCAGTACGACGTTTAATGAAAGATGTTGCTTCAATTTTCATTCTAAACCTCCTTTCACCGTGATCTCAACGTCGTAATAGGTAGTTGATTCAACCGCCGAATGCCTGCTGGGAGGATTGTTTGGAAGAAACTTCTATTAATAGGTTGAGCAGTCTTTGATGCATGCACACAATTGTGATTATCACAAAAATTCACAAATGAAATTAACATCCACCTCGTTCATTTACGGTGCGATTATTCCTAGAAAATTAGCGCTTCGGTTCCAACTCGTTACATGTAATTGAATAGATTAATGATTCTTTTCTTTCCGGTATATTAATGAGTTATTCCTTTTTAAAATTGGAAGCAGATAAATGCTCATGCAAACTGCTTAGCTCGACTTATATTAGCACCCGATGGAAATTTCAATAGGTCAACTGCAACAAATAGGTCAACTGCAACGGGTCAATGTTTTTGGTAAATAGAGAAAATTTAGCGATGTAAACGGATAGGTTTTCAATTTTTATTGTGTTCAGACTACGTTATTCATGTACTAGAGGTTTTTGTTAACGTAGGATGTGAACTTGAATTTTGCAATTTAATATGAAATGTATCAGTGTTTCATTGCAACCTTCTCTCTGTACTATTTTGCCGTCACCTATTCATACGAGAACCTAGTCACGTGCCTGCCTATCAAGCCACTTGGCGTCAACCTGACAAAACGAGAAGTTATGAATATCTGGAACCTGAACATAACGTAAGATTGGAAGAGTAATCACTCCGATTGTCTAACTTTAAAATATATGAGACGAACAAATACAATCCATTATTTTTTTTTTCTTAGTCTAATCATGCAACATAGCGGCGAGATGTAAGTTTTCTTCGAAATGATCAGCATTGTTCTTGCATTCAAAGGCTTTGGTCAGTTTTCTATGCAGTGAGGATAAATCCTTCGAGAGAAATTATTGTTATTACTTATTAGCCGCATACGATCAAATTAGTTCGTTAATTGAGTAACGCGAACAGCGTCCGATTACATCAATGACCGAAAAAACGAGGGTACGAGCGTAAATGAGCTATGGCAAAACAATGAAACAAGAATATATTCTCGGAACATAATTGTGGCTCCTAGAGGAGCCGGTTGTGATGTTGCACACTCGGGAGAATTACTTCTTCTCAGTCTTCTTGGGGAGCAGAACAGCCTGGATGTTAGGCAGAACTCCGCCCTGAGCAATGGTCACTCCTGAGAGAAGCTTGTTGAGCTCCTCGTCGTTACGGATGGCAAGCTGAAGGTGACGAGGAATGATACGAGTCTTCTTGTTGTCACGTGCAGCGTTGCCAGCAAGTTCAAGAACCTCGGCAGCGAGATACTCCATTACAGCAGCTAGGTAGACTGGCGCACCAGCACCAACACGCTCAGCGTAATTTCCTTTACGCAGGAGACGGTGGATCCTACCCACGGGGAACTGAAGTCCAGCCCTCGAAGAACGAGACTTGGACTTGCCCTTTACTTTGCCGCCTTTACCGCGACCAGACATGACGAAGAATTACCTTTTGCAACAAACGGCAGGACTTCTTTTATAATTAAAATACCTGCGGCCTCAGTATATGAAGATACTTGCGCACCCAACTGATAGCAACGAGCGAGCCAATGCTGTACCAGCTGCTCGCATGCTGCTGTCGTCAGCTGCGTTAGGCCTAATGGCCGCACGCTAAACTGGAGACTTTGATCTTGGTTTTACTTAGGTAGAACGCAAATTTGGTGCAAACTGCAAAATATACCTAGAAGTGAAGTTGCAAGTATGGCTCCTAAAACGTCCGGAAAAGCTGCGAAGAAGGCTGGCAAGGCCCAGAAGTCGATTACGAAGGGAGATAAGAAGAAAAAGAAGAAGAGGCGTGAGAGCTACGCCATCTACATCTACAAGGTACTGAAGCAAGTCCACCCTGA